TCTCTCGCTCGACGCTCAAACTATGGCAAGAAGCCAGGAGACAATGGTGTCTGCTTTGCTGTTGTTTACACGGTAACAATAGGCGGACTTTTCATGGTTGATTCCTCCACCCCCACCACCACAAAGACACTCACTTGCGCGCTCAAAGATTGCGCCGTCTGGAACGCTCTTCCTTCCGATGTTAGGAAGCCACTGACATACGCTTTTTAAAATCTAGATTGATAACTATAATTTCTTTAGAAATGCTTTTTGTATCTAGTTTGTTGTCCTACGAGAAGCACGGTTGGCTACGTACGGTGCGAAAGGGGTTCAACATTTGTAGGAGTCGGTCTATCAGACACTGTTTGGTCACCGAAGTTGTTTTGCCATTTGATACTCGTTTTACATTCGCAACAAAAGCACTTGGCCACACCGTTCCCACTGTAATGTGCAGGAAGGCAATTGTAAAAATTGCGTGGTACCATTGGTTTTCGCTGTGAATCTTAACAAGGAATTGATCGGTGGATAATTATTACATCGAAGGATCTGGGGACCCCTTCATCGGCACAGTAAATGCTCCTGTAGTCCAACTTGAATCGCCTCTTCCGTCGTCACGTGGAGATTGCACATTTTGTCGCATCCTCGTCAGCAAGGCGGACTCTCCTGAAACCAATCCATGCTGATGTTTGTTACCAGATTGTATCGGATACCGAATTCTCCAGATTATAGGAGGCAGTGTCAGCGCCCGTATATAAAAAAAAGCAATAATAGTAGGGGGTGCGTTTTATAATCCGATAGGTATACGTGTGTGACCTGAGATTTGTATAACTTTATTGACACTTGGCGCAAGTTTGCGGCGATTTTTATCTTATTAAAAGTGTCTTATAATCCGAAGAATACGGAAAATATCTCCGCCCATTTCGAGTTACATTTCCAAATGGAAGTTTATTTCCAAACGGAAGTTTATATTTGTGCGTGTATCTACACTACAGTACCGTTAAGTACAACTTATTGCGTGTGGCATTAATAGCATTTGTTAACGCGGGTTGAGCGGTGGCGCAACGGTTAGCGCGCTGCGCTCTTAAACCCTGCGACCCGAGTTTGATTCCGGGCCACGGCTGACATCGCTGGGCGAGTGAATAACTGAACCGGACTGAACCCGTACTGCCACCAAAATCTCCTCCTACCACCCTCCCACGTATCATTTCATTACTACTTTACACACCTCTCCGCCACTGACCAGCGTGGTGAAGTATGGACAAATAACCTCGAAGACCCGACCCAGCCACAAAGCGCAAGCAGCGACAGGTCACGACAATGCTTCACTCTGCGCTACCAAATAAGAGAATGTGAACACGATGTTGCACGTACGTGATGGGTGCACGTGATGGGTGTACGTGATATGTACACAATTACTGTACATGATGTGTTCTTTGAAGAAGGGCCATTGGTCGAAACGTTGCCTAAATGTCCCGTCGTAACCAGTGTTATTGAGGTTTTTTTTTTCCCCCCCCACTGGATGTCGGGTGGTGAATCGGTCGTGTAGCCTTAACAGACTGTTGGGGCAAGTGCTGTTAGCGAGTAGCACCTATGAAGGCCGGCACGGCACACAAGGGGGTCCGGTGGTCAACACCACGCCCGGCCGCCTTTGTTCTCCCTAGTGGCCTAGTTTACACATCGAACCAGGTACTCATTTTGAGGCTGAGTCGACCTAGGGGAGGCCCGAGACCGGTTCAGAAAATCGTCACTGGTTTTGGCCGTGAGCACCCGGGTCGCCAGGTTCGAAGCGCAGCGTAGCACTAACCGTTACACTACCGCTCCCCACAATACACACATACATACACACAAATACATATACACACAAATACATACATATACACGCATATATATACACAAGCACACGCACGGGCTTACACACATCTTTGGACATATAAGCACACACACGCAATCACACACGCACACACAGGTAACATAAACACATGTTTGCAGACACAACACACACAAACGCAAACACAGTACACACACGCGCGCACACACACACGCGCACACCCCCACACACACGCGAGCACACACACACACGCGCGCGCACACCCCCACACGCGCGCACACCCCCACACACACACGCGAGCACAATCACACATACGCGCGAGCACACTCCCACCCACACACGCGCGCACACCCCCCCCCCCCACACACACACACGCGAGAACAATCACACACACACACAGGCGCGCGCACACCCCCACACGCACACACGCGAGAACAATCACACACACACACGCGATTACACCCACACACACACACGCGATTACACACACACACACGCGACCACAATCACACACACGCGAGATCACAATCACACACACGCGCACACACGCACGCGAGCACACAAACGTTCAAACACATATACGTACGTACGCGAACACTGACACACGTGCGCGCACGTACGCACACACACATGGGCACATACACACACATACGCATATCCAGACACACACATGGGCATATACACATGGGCGCACACACATGGGCGCAGCACACATACGCATGTGCACACACATACACGGGCACACACACACACGCATGTGCACACACACGCATGTGCACACATACACTCTTACACACGCACACATGGGCACACACACATGGGCACACACACACACACACATGGGCACACACACACACACACATGGGCACACACACACACACATGGGCACACACACACACGGGCGCGCACACACACCATGGACACACACACACACACATGGGCACACATACACACATGGACACACACACACAAAGATCCACACACACACACACTGGCGCACGCACATACACTCTCACACACGCACACATGCACGCGCCCGCAAATATCGAAGATCCCCCCCCCGTATTGCCTTCTATACACTGTCGTGGCACGTGTTGGCGAGCGCCTATTAAGGCCTGCGCAAGGCACATGCGAGCAACCACACAATTCCAACGTACGCATCCAGCACAGCAAAGTAACAGACACCAACATCGCCTTTAACAGACTGTAGCGGCAAGTGCTGTTTGTGAGCATCTCTGTGGCACATGCAACAAAGACAAAGATTCCCCACATACAGTTTTTAACAGACCGTTGGGACAAGCGTCGTTAGCGAGGATCTATCAAGGCCGGCAATGGTACACGAGTGTGTGGATGGCCAACACCACGCCCGGCCGCTTTTGTCTCTCCAGTGCTGATCTTTTTTACACACCGCATCAGGTGCTCGTTTAAGGTTGAGTCGATCTAGGGGAGGCCCGTAAACCGGTTCACATATTCTCCACCATTACTGGTGGTGAGCGGTCAACAAACTCTGGTCGCTGGGTTCGAAGCGCAGTGCGCTGACCACTGCAGCCACCGATCCGCACGAAATACGTACGCACACAAAATAAAGACAAAGATCCCCCGTGTAGCCTTAACAGACGAGAGGAGCAAGTGCCGTTAGCACACACACAACAGCCGACATTGTGTGTGCTGATATTCACGCACCAAAGCACGTGCAAAAGAAGTTCAAGGTGCATACGTGGCATGCGGTAAATGTCGCGGTAACGGAATTACACAAAATTGGGCACTGCTATCATTTGGGGGTTAGTAGTTTCCTGTTGTGCTTCCACAGCGGGTGGGGTGCGTGCCTAAATATGCCTTGCAGTGGTCTTGTAATTCCGTTACCGAGGAATCGTGTGTGTATATATGTAAATACCAGCTCTCTATTAACGTTAGCTTCGAAAACTATTTCGAAAAAATAAGAGTGATTTCATTTAGCGCTCTTCCAATCCTCCGCATACAGAACGTTATTTGGTCTCGGTAAAAAAAAAGTACGGTATTCTTAGGATTATAAGACGCTCGGGAATGTAAGACGCACCCCAAACTTGGGTCCGGTGTCCATAAAGTTACACAAATCCGGTCCCTCTCACACACACGCACCGGATTATAAGACGCACTCCCAATTTTTAATGAAAATTGTATCGCATGAGCGACCTGAGCGGTCTCATGAGACAAATGATGTTGTATGGATGTTGAACTTATTCCGCACCGTACGTAGCCAACCGCGTTAATCGGAGATGCGCGGGAACGAAAACAAACTATACACAACATTCTGTTTACAAGAAATTCGTTTTCAAGCTACATTTAAAAGTGCATAGCTCCAGTGGCTTCCTAATATCGGAAGAGCCTTCCAGACGGCCGCAGGAGCAGCATTGGAAAGCGCGCGATGCGCCGACCGTCTTTGTTCGATGGGCAGCCAGAATCCGCTGCGAGGATGACCGGAGTTCGCTTGGTGGTTTATGCTCCCTGACGAGATCAGCGTTGGCAGTCGTGCACATGCACACTTAACAAAGAACACATCCGTCAACAACACTGTGGCCTTAAAAGGGAAATACATATATAATAGGCGACGTTTCGGGCAATGGCCCTTCATAGCACATCACAGGGCAATTCCCTGACACGTCGCCAGCGTCACTCATCGTACAGTAGGTGCAACACTCACTCACTCATCGCGATCGATCAGCCAGCAACGCTTAAGATTCTCATCGCAATTTTTTTGACCTAGGTCACATAGGTCATCAGTCGTACATAACTCATAATCGATAGCGTAAGTCCCTGGCGTCTTCCAGTCAAAATTAATCCTAACGTGCGTTCTGTACGACCAAAACTACTTTGAGATAATAATTATTATAATGACGATAACCCTTTCGCGCCATAACACGGCAATCCGTTGCAAGGGCGAGTGTCCGAAACATCGCCTATCATCTAATTTTCCTTTTAAGATGGCACAATGTTGTTATTGACGAATGCGCTGAGTTGTGTTGTTAGTGGTGCTTGTGCACCACTGCCAACACAGCAGCAAATCATTCGTTATTGTTGTAAGCGCTGTGACTGACACAGGGACTCCCTGCACTTTCTCACGACGATGTGAGACGTTGTGCAATGTGCGACGATGATGTGCGACGTTGCGCGATGGGTGACGACGTTGTTGTGTGCATCGCCCCGCGGTACTCACCCATGGGGCCCGGTCGCCGGCCGCCCATTCCATGGTGGAGGTTGTGGAGGATGGGGCTGTCAAAAGCGCTGGGGGGCCATCCCACATCCGCCCCCACGTAAGGGTACGCGCTCGCGTACCCCCCGTTCAGGGAGCGGCCCCCCAGCTGCGCCGAGTACTGATCTCCCCGCGCGTGCAGGGCGTTGAGGCCGTAGGCGCCCTGCTCCAAGCGAGACGGACCGCCCCCGGAGCCCGACATCTGCCCGGGGCCCCCGATGGAGCCTCCGCCGCCTCCGCCGCCGAGGGAGGAGGCGACCGAGCCGGCGATGGAGCAGGGAGGACTGGGCGCGAAACTCATGGTGAAGCGCGGCGACATCGACGAGTGAGCCGAGCTGGCCGACGTCACGGAGCCGTACTGTCCCGCCTGGATGTCCCCCGCCTGGGACGCCCACATGTTCTGCTGGGCGGCCGCGGCGGCGGCGGCCGCGGCGGCGGCGGCCGCGGCGCTTTGCAGGTACGCGGCGGGGATGCCCGGGGGCAAGGCCGGGGGCATGCACCCGGGCACGCGGCCGCTCGGCACGTAGACGGGCGAGGGGGAGCCGGGCAGGAAGGCCGCGTCCCCGTGCGAGTAGGCGGGCGGCGCGGACTGCGCCACGCCCGGCGCCTGCAGGCCGAGCCCCGGGTAGACGGACGCGGGCGGAGCCGACGGATCCTGCCCGCCGGTGGCCGAGAAGAGGTAGCCGCCGGCGGAGCGGTCGAACAAGTAGGGGTCGTGCCCTCCTCCTACGCCGCCGCCGCCGATCTGGGAGGAGGCCCCCATGTGCGAGTGGCCGGGCGCCACTGCGGCGGGGATCCAGGAGTGGGCGGCGTGGTGGGCATAGCGCTCCTTCATCGTCATCGCGGGGCTGCCCGGGCCTTCCACGTCGCCGCCTGGCCCTCCCGGGCCGGACGAGCTCGGCGAAGGGGACGAGGGGATGACGTCCCGGGAAGGGCCCATCCCGCCAAGGCCACCCCCGCCGCCGATGAGCTTGTCGCCGTACTTGATGGTCGAAGCCACGGAGAAGGCGGAGAAGGTCGGGGGGCTGCTGCCCGGGTAGGGGATGGAGTAGGGAGAGGTCTCTGGCTTCACTCGGCTTCCGTTGTGCGTCATTCCACTTGCGTGATGATGGTGATGATGGCGACGATGGTGATGATTATTCGGATTGCTTCCACGCAGCGTGCAAAGTACGTGGCTGGTGATTAATATGGAAGCGTTAACATTACCGCAATTTGAATAGAAAAAAATATATATATATACAGAGCAACTTGCGTTTAGCGTATCTTGAGAATCACAGATCTTCCATCTGTCGGAGAAAGAATACAACAAATATATAATTATTGCGAGTGGTTGTGTCTGCACGTACAGCACGTGTCATGATCATCAGCATCAGTCATGGTCAATCCACTGCTGGATAAAGGCCTCCCGAAGCTGCCACCACGTCAAACAACCATATCGACGCAAGATCTTGCCGTTCAGAACGTGACCGTGCGCAGTTGTTTGTGAATTGTTTCTGTTCGCGCTTTCTTTGCTGTAGCAGCCACGTTTCTGTCGCCAGGTCCCCGTCAAAAATTTGAACATTTATTGCTGCAATGGGTTTTTTTTTTTACCTGCGCCAAACTAAAAACCTAAACCTCGCTCGACCCTACCATGTAACAATCATCTACCCAGCAGACACACCTCCGATTAGCACGGTTGGCCACGTACGTACGGTGCGGAAGATGTTCTACAATATCCACAGCTCAAGAGCTTATCACTCTGATACCATTCGTCAATAACACTGTGGCCTTAAAAGTTACATATGTGTAAAACAGGCGACGTTTCAAATAATGGCCTATCTACTCAGCACATGCACAATGTTCTATGAACGACGGTGGGCCAAATACGCACTTTGGAGAAGTGCATTTTCCCAAAACGGCGTATTTTAAACTTTTTTTCTCTTCTCAGGCATCAGTGATGTTGACGAATGTGTCGATTTATTTTTGTACTCCATATTGAATGTTTGTTTGCCATGTCAGGACGTGTATTATTCGAAAACCCCAAAGTTGTACAAGCATGAGCAACGTACAGACAATCGGGGTCGAGAATGTTTTTTTTGTTCTCTCCAAGATGCATGCTTCGTTTCGAGACAGCATGAACTTGCCCGGAGAACGGACATTAACGTTTAAACATTCTTATTTTTCTTCTTCTTCTTTCGTACGACGGCTGCTGGTGCAGATGCAGAGCAACGACTACGATTTCACATTCGGTGGTGAAACCAGACAACCGCGTCAGGAGCAAGCGGAGTGGCGCATCATCATCGTCAGCATCATCGCTGCGATGTCTCCTTCGTATTTGTGTTGTACGGTCTGTTCTGAGTGACTGACTGAACATTCAACACATTGGTCAATAACACTGTAACCTGAAAGTAAAAACATATATACCGCAATTTGCGACGTTTCGGGCAACGGCCCTTCTTCAGAGCTCATCGAGAGGTCAGAGATACCGAGTGTTGGAACCTGCACTTCACAATCCATGTGTGTGTGCGCGTGGCCAAATTCATATAACTTCATTGACACCTGCCACAGGTTTGGAGTGCGTCTTACTTCCTGGCACGTCTCTCTCGATACATGGAACGCGCTGATAATACTCTGCAGTACGTGTGGATGATTCCCCCAATAACTATCTTAAATAATCATTGGGAGTGCGTCTTATAATCAGATGCGTGCGTGTGTGCGTACGTCCAGATTTGTACCTGGTGCGATGTATAAACATCGTCACTGTGGATACAAAGGCGGCCGGGCGTGGTGCTGGCAAACCCCTTCCCCTTCGTGTGCCGTGTCGGCCTTCATAGGTGCTACTCGCTAACAGCACTTGCCCCAACAGTCCGTTACAGGCTACACGGGGGATCTTTGTCATTGTCGCGCTCGCGCGTGCCCTCCGGCACCTTGATAAGATCCATAGTAAAACAATATATACACGAATAAATACAGTGCCTGCTAATGTACGGCCAGAGACATCGTTAAATGTGCAATATATGTGTTGTAAAAACGAAATATTCAACTCGCAATCGACGAACCTTATGGGTACCATTTACGTACGGTTATTTTCCCAGTGAGAGTATATAGTGGGTGTATATATACACAATACTGTATATTTAATGTAGTATATATAATATAGTGTGTGTATATATATAGTGTGTGTCTAGTGTATACCGCGCACTGCGCGCTACAGACCCGGCGAATTGAGTGTTAGCGATTCCCGCTCCCGGCAAACATCAGTGGCGAATAACTCTAAAACTATCTTGGAGCTACCCATGGATCGACTCGGCCTTAAATAATGCGAAAACACCAAAACTGGGGAGACAAATAGGGCCGGGCCCACGTAATTCTAACATACGGCATGTGCGTGCGTGTGTGTGTGTTTGTATTGTGGGGAGTGGTAGTGTAACGGTTCGCGCGCTGCGCTACGAACCCGGCGACACGAGTTTCAGGTTTTTTTTCAGTTTATTTTGGTATAGCCCTGTGAGCCATTCGGCCCTTGAATCGGGTGCAACCACAACAAACAAAAAAACACGAACAAATTCGACTCACGGCCACCAAACTTCAGTGACGCATTATCCGAACCGGTCCTGGGCCTCCCCCTCGGTCGAATCGGCCCTCAAATGAGTACCTGGTGCGTTGTGCTTAAACATCGCCACTGGGGAGACAAAGGCGGCCGGGCGTGGTGCTGCTGGCCACCCACCCCCTCGTGCGCCGTGCCGGCCTTCATAGGTGCTCGCTAACAGCACTTGCCCCTGCTGTCCACATGAGCTATACGGTGGGGGGGGGGGGGGCTTTGTCTTTATGGAAATGCGTCGCTAATAAAAAAACAATAATTGTACGAGCGGCTTCCTTCCTGTGTTTGTGTTGGAGTTCACTTTTCCCGGCGAGTAACTCCATGTAATATTTCCGAAGTAATATTTCGCAAATATACGCACTTAAGCGCAAGTGGTGTGGTGCTGCTATTTATGATTATACCGGTACATTCATATAGGTGCAAACTCTCACTCTACCTCTCTGTGTGCAATGAAGTAGGGCCGTTGTCCGAACCGTCGCCCATCATATATATTTTTAAGGCGCCACAGTGTTATTGACGATTATGTTGAGTTATATGTAAGATATATATATCAATCGCCTATATATGTATTCGATGCGAGTATGTGATGTCTGCATGTGTATGAATACTGATGTATGTGTGTACACACATATATGGGCACGCATGTTTATAGGTAAATGTTTTTATATAATTTATTACATTGTTGGATGGTGTCGGCGTCGGAGGTTGCTTGACCATACTTCACCACGTTGGTCGGTGCGGGTCGGTGAACGCGGATTCCGTTCCGTATCAGATATCACTCGCCACTGACGTTAGCCGTGGTCAGGAATCGAACTTAAGTTGCCGGATTTCAGACCGCAGTTCGCGAACCACCGTTGTGTTATGTCACGTTGGCAGGCAATGTTGTGTTGTGTGCGCGCAATTGTTCACCGTACTCTCCCGATTGCAAGACGAAGCTTCGCAAGGTGAGACGCACCTCAAAATTGTGTCGGGTATCACTAAAGTTTTCAAATCTGGTCGCGTACGAACAAGTAATCGGATTATAAGACGCACCCCTCCCTCCACCCCCCCCCCGCTAAAGGCGAAAGTGTGGCTTATAGTTCGGAGCATACGAGATACACAGTTCCATACAATTGTTTGTAAACTCAGCTTGTTCGTCAATAACACCGTGGGCTTTTTAAGAAGAAGAGGAGGAAAAAATGAAATTGCCAACGTTTCGGGCAACGGCCCTTCTTAATGGCACAAAAGTAATCGGGGCCAGAAGAGAGATATAAAATATACGAGTTGGAGACTGGACTTGTTTACACCACGGGAGGCCTGGTGGCAATAACATCTTTAAAATATTTTCTGATGGCCAGTTTACACATATATGTTTTAATGGGCATGTAAATAGTTACACCATTAGTAAGCTATTGAGTAAGGGACAAACCCCTTCAATAACCAACGAAGTATGATTACCAATTAAACTGATTTATATTAAACAGCCAGCACATCCTTCTGTCCCGCCCTCCGGCAAGCGAAACGTTTTGCTCACATCGCATGATGGCAGTGTGAAGTAAAGAAAACACAACGTTGCTGGCACATTGCATTGTATATTAAACGAATTTCATATAGCTTATAACCATAGCACAGGCACGACGAAAAAAGTGAGATTTGATTGTCCACTAATTAGTTGGAGAGTCTGCGGTAGACTGTTGCTCTATTGCTCTCAGTTGTAAGTATTATCAATGTAATCTCCAGTGCTTATGTAGGTAATTGGCTGTCGGTCGCTCGCCCTGTTTTACTGCGAGTGTCGTACGCTATGCGTGGCTGCCGCTAATGACGATGCTGCTGCTGATGATGATGAACACTAACCATCGTGTTTTATGGGCGCTCAATAACACCCACCCGTGTTACATGCGATAGTAAAAGACGGTGTGGGCCAGCGCAGGACGAGCCTGCGTCTTTACGGCCGGGCATCTGTATATTGTGTGCGTGTGTTTGTATGTATGGATGATGTGTGGTTTATGTGTATGTGTGTATATGTGGAGCGGTGGCGCAGTGGTCGATTTAGCCTCGGTCGACTTCGCTTCAAATGAGTTCCTGGTGCGGTACTTAAACATTGCCAGGATATACAATGCTGTAAATCGAAATGTATTGCCAGGAGAGAGAGGCAAAGGCGGCCAGGCGTTTACGCTGGCAACCCACCCCCTTCGTGTGCCGTGCTTACCTTCATAGGAGCCCGCTAACAGTTCAATTGACTTGCGCTAAAAGTCAACTGATGCTATAATTGTGGATCTTTGTATATAATTTGTATACACAACGGATGTCGCAATCTAGCCTCTCACGAAGCCTAACGTCGAAAGTTAGCAACGTGGAACCGCGTATGGCCGAAACATCACCCCTCGTGTTTTCGGAAAACAGAGCTCATTACGTTAACCGCGTATAGCCGAAACACGCGTTCTACGAAACCAAGGGGGGGTTTTTTGCCCCCCCCCCCCCGTATACATTATACAATATGGGGAGCGGTGGAATGGCTCCCTGCGATATGCGTTAGATCTCCGTGTTTGTAGCACAGTGAGTGCGTCGATGCACGTGACACTCATAGTACAACGCTCAGTGCATTACAGAGTACGATACGCATTGTATAGTGCGCTCAATGTATAAACACATATCACAGCACTGAACGCGTAACAGCCTCAATTATATAACAGTCATATTGCAAAACTCAATTGCATAACAGCCTCAAGT